CTTAAGTTCCTACAATGGATTTTCCTCAGGCCTTCACAATACTAAAGGGCAGCATGCATCAAAACATCTTCAGGAAACGCAGCTCTGCCTCTCAGAACATGAGGCAAGCAACTCACAGGGCTAGCAAGAAACTTCCCTGGTGGACCAATTATTTGCTACAGTTTCCTCAGCTGCCTTCTCACACATCTGATAAAGACAACGTCCAAAAGCAGAACACTGGACAAGGCAGTACATGCACTAAACAAGTGATTTTATCCAGTAATATAACTCTAATGATGGTATAAAATGTTTGGCAAACAGTTCTGGAATAAAAAAATTTATATATAAAATGTTCACATGCAATTCCCAAATACAAAATGGACTACACGTCCTGGCTAAAACCCATTCACTATAAACAGCTTGTCCAGCTCAATTCCAAAACAGAATTTGAGATCATATTCAGTATCTGTACTGCAGTGCAGTGCCTTAGAGAGGAAGGTACAAATGCTGCAATCTCAACCACGCCATCCCTCACATGAGCTGTTAAACAGTGGTCTCTTGTGTCAGTCCCTGGTGTATCTCCAAAAGTCACACACTGACAAATAAAAGAAACACTTTTTAAAATAAACAAAAAATATCCAAAGTGTTTTTCAGCATTATTTCATTCTAAAATTGCTTCTAACATCCAAGATTGCTTTTGAGCATTTTCTTCAGTGCACTCTGGGAATCATGTTTGTATGTTTGATGACTGCAGCTACCAGAATCTAATGTATTGTGATAAACTCCTTTAAAGATAAGCAGGATAAATCAAGGGATTAAAAAAAAAGGCAAACTTTTTTTCTATTCTATTTTACTGAGAGACTCACATAGCAATTCTTCTGATGTTTAGTGACTTATTTTACAATAATCTTCAAACCTCATTTCTCCAGGTTCCTTTTGTGTCCTCTAATTCCACAGAATCTTCATTTAGGATGGCATCTAAGCATATGATTATTAGTCAGATTTAAAGTGACACTTGTTTAAATATTGCCATAATGAGGAATATCTGGAATAGGAGTGACTCTGGAATCACAGAACTCATGTCCTTGAAATGTGAATACATTATATTCTTCATTTCAGAATGAAGCAAAAATCTCTGCCATAAACTTAATTCTTTTATTATCTGAAGTATTAAAATGCAGCACTGAGTGAATAAAATCTTTTGCATGTCAAACATGAATCCTAAGTAATGTTTAATTTTATTTAAAAGTACTTTTCCAGTGTTGCAAAGGAAACTTACACTTTTTTCTGGCAGTCACACTCAGAACTATTAAGTCCATGTAGAAAATAAGGCAGCACAGAATATGTTCACACAGGCAAAAATTCTATATTACTGTAACATTCTAATAAAAAAAAAAATGAAAAATAAAAGAGCGCAACATGGAACACTGGCATTTCAACCTTTACAAAAAAAAAAAAAAAAAGGGTGAAAAAGAGATGATGACTCCATCTGACCTGGGGAAAATATGCAGCTCACACTGATTATGCTTCTGATTCCTGACAGGCATGGTAGTCTTCACCGTCTCAGAAGACAGTGACAAAGACCATAACCCTGTCAGCCCTATTTTAGTGTGTCCTGGTGGTGTCTCCTACCATAAACAGCTAAAAGACGACCTGCTTCTACATTGAGAAACTCCACAACTCCAGAAAAGCATATATACTGGCATCAGGAATATCACAAGATCAAAGAGCTAAATTACACATTTCTCATCACTTTTAGGTACATACTGCTCCCAAAATTCAGGACACCCTTAATGAATATAAGGAACATATATAGGCAGTATTTCATTGAAACATTGCAATTGTTTTAATCCCTTCACCAGCTTGTCACCCCACTCCATGCAAAGGCCTTCCTCTATGGGGATTCTATGTCACGAAAAGCAGTCCTTGCAAGTGTGCATTATGGAAGGAGACTGTGCATTTAGGCAAAAACATTTTCTGTTCTCTCCTGCAACTCTGAAATATTTTCACGCTGGTCAAACTACACAACCTTAAAAAAAAAAAAAAAAAAAAAAAAAAGTGCTTTAGATTCTTGACTGTAAAGACCAAACAATTAAAGTCTATTTTGTACATACCTTGTTCTTTTTTAATACTTAAAAGCAAAATCTCCTCTACAAGGAAGAAGTCTGCTCCAGACACACAACTAATAAAAGCAAGGACAAGATACTCGCTCCTCTTCAATTCTCTTCCACAATATGTGTGCATTCACTAGGAGAAGTCAGGGGAATGTATGCCCAAGTCTAAAAAGGGCCATACATAATGAAAGGTCATCTCCACCTGGAGCATTCAGCAAAGTAACGAGGGAGATCCCCGTTTGTGGAGAAAGGTATCATTCACAGCACTACAGAAGATTTCCTTGAGGAGAACTGAACAACACAGAGCTGAATCCCAGTCCGCCCAAAGTTATCTCAGACAACGTAAGGACTGATGTTTCCAGAAATGCACAGCACTAACAGGTTACGTTCACTTCTCAGAATTGATGTAGCAAACTCAAATTATTCCCAAAAGAAACAGAAATCCACCCTAGCAGCAAAATTTGCAGGAGATAATGCATGACACCACCTTACCAAAAAAATAAGAATAAAATAAGAGCAGCAAACAAAAAAGAGGGATCATTAGGCATATAGGAATGTGTAAAGAGGAAAGGAAAAAAGAAATTATACATCAACATGGGGGGCAAATACAAGCTCAGTTTAGTCCCTTAATGTAAATAAAGGGCATTTTTAATTGAGTAAAATCTCATGTGTCTCCTTAAACACTAAAAAAATATAGTGTAAACACTTCAGGGTAAACTCTAAAGATGCTACAGTAATTTTGAAATATCAGAAAAAGAACTCACAATTTTAGAAAGTTTATCAGGTCCTACCAAAAAAATACAAAGAGCACTGCTTACATGTAGTAGGCCTACAGATGTCATCCTGAAAATATTCCAAGTATCGAATGCTTTTTGCTTGCCTAGAGTGTTCTTTGAAAAGTTCTTGTTTATCTATGAAACATTTATGAATGGGTCAGTCCTTAATTCCTATTTTAAAAATAAATAAAAATAAAAACTGCAGCAATTACCAGGTAATATTCAATTTCCAGTGCTTTCTATTCAATCACATTCAGAAAGGTATGCACAATTAATAGCTTTAAAGAATACTAGTCCAAGCTTTCTAAGAATAGACAGAAGGAAAACTACATTAAAAAATATGTCTACAGCAACAGACTTTTCTGAGTAACTTGGACAAAGTGGAAGGAAGAGAGGAGTAAAAATCACTACTTATATACCTCTACAGATTAGAGATTCAAAACTTCACATGAAAACAGTATTTCTCAGGCCTTTTTGACTTCACTACACAATAAGCCTCCCCCAAGCCTCAGTTTACCATATCCAAGGTCATTTTGCCACCAGTACAACATTCTAAACATTTTTAAGTATTATCTAAGACTGGGTTTGCCAAATCTTTATTAAGCCTGACACACATTATCAGGAGTGCTGTTTTACATAACATGCTGCTGCTGTCAGGTGCTGGAGTTTAACATTACTGTATACGTGCTGAGAAGTATTAGCATGCTCACTGCTCCTCTTTCCCTATTAAGCATTCAGATAACAGGAGCTAAGCTTAACATTCAAGCCAGCAGTAAAACTGCCATTGTACAAGACTTCCAAAAATGTTTACCAGTGAGAAGCACTACTAATTAAACTCTCATAAATTGAGATGACAAATTATCTTTCACAGAAGTATTTTTCTGTTTTGTCTTTAGGTGTTACACAACACTAAAATAGAAGTCACATAGCACTAACAGGAAAAAAGTTGCCAATATTCATGCCAATGTTGTGTAACAGCTGTATTTCCTGTAAAAGCAGATTTTCCAAGAATCCTCAAACAAACAAAAAAGGAATAACAGGATATATATCTATTATTTTAGGGTTTCTGGTAGAAATAGAAGATGACTGAGATCCAAGATTCACAATGCTGCAAACAGCATATGAATATGCTTCACATCCACTCAGTGGCTTGCTTTCCCCTCCTTTTTAGATGTATTTTCTTACAGGACGTCGAACGTGAACATTTTCTAAATCAGACTGCACTAAATGAAAAGGAACTTAAGCTTTATCCTACAGTCTCGGTGTTTTCAGCTCTACTTATCAAATGTCTCAGCAATTTTTCCTCAAACTGGCACGGTTTGTATACACCACTATTCAAAGATGCCCACCTGCAAAACTTGCTAGGATTGTGCATATAAAAGACACTTGGGAGATGGCCGAGAAGGTAAATAAAAGCAATGTTTGAAGAAAAATAATCCAGATAAGCACTAGATGCAGCAGTCCTGATGTATTAATTAAACTGAGGGAAGAAACGCTCTAGCGCCTTAACATGCTTTGGATCTAAGTAACGAAAGGATGCGCACGCCAGAAAAAGCCGTATTAGTCTGTGCCCAGCGACGAGAACGCTTGCAAGTTAGTGGGAACCTCCGTGGGGAGGGGGTAGGGTGGGAGAGATGTTTTTTTTCCCCAACTCTATTTTTGCAAAAGGAGTGTGATTGCAGCTTTCGCGCTGGGGATGGCTGCTCGGTTAGTATCTGCAGTACGCGAACACATTGGCGGGTGGGAAGGCAGCAAGGAGAGGTGCTACTGGGAAAGCGCCGCTCGCCCCCCACCCGGCTGCCCGCCCCTCACCCTGCCCGGGGTACCCCCGCCGCCTCCCCCTCCCGCTCATCCCGGCATCGCCAGCAGGGAGGGCGGGCGGTTGTCGCCCCTCTGCCCGTGGGTACGGGGCCACACGGTGCCAGGTGGAGAGGAACGGGGCTGGAGCTCCGGAGCCCTCCGACAGCAGCCCCCGGGGCGGCGGGGGCAGCGAGCACCCGCCTCCCGCTGCCCTCTCCCGGCTCCCACCCCGGCGAGGTCTGGGCGTCTCCCCCCGCTGCCCTCGGCCGGCGCAGCCCCGGCCCCTGCCCCACGCCAGCGCGGAGGTGAGGGAGGCAAGCGCGGCGCTTACAGTTCGCAGGAACTGGATCTCGTCCTCGCCCTCGCCCCCCTCGGCCATGGTTCCCCCTGTCTGTCCTCCTCCCGGGCGCTGCTCCCGGTGCCCGGGCGGGCGGCGGCGGTGGTCGCTCCCCGCGGGCAGGCGGCGATGGCAGGAGGCTCACGGCCGCTCCGCACCGGGCTGGGGCAAGTGCGAGGGCGGCGGAGCCGGCAACCCCAGCCCGACCCCGGCTGCGAGCGGGGTGCGGGTACCCGAGCCCCTGCAGCAGGTTGACAGCGCTGCCCGGCTGCCAGTCCTGCCAGGGGGAGGGGGATGCGATTAACCGGGGGAGGAGGGGGAGGCGGAGCTCCCCAGCCCCCCCCCCCGCCGCTGCAGGTGATCCGCAACCCGCTCCCTCCGCACTCCAAACGCGCCGCCCAGCGCCCCTTTCCGGCTGCTCCGCGGAGAGGCGGCCCCGGCCGGCGCGGGGGGCTCGGCCGGGGGCGCGCCTGGGGCGGTGATGCTGCTGCCCTGGCCCGCCTCACGGTCTCCTCGCTCGGCCCGAGCCCGGGGCTGCACCAGCCCCGCGGGGAGGCACCAGCAAGGCCGGCCGGCGCCTTGCCTGCCTGGGCACGTCTGTCCCGCAGGAGTTCTGCGTGATGTGCTGCACTGAGAGATACCTCAGGAGAGGTATTAATTAAGCGGCTCTGCGCCAGTTTTTTTGCCAACCGACTGTACTGTCGGGGAGAAGGGGTGGAAGGTACAACATGGCTTCACCGGGTGTTATACCTCCGTGTGAGTGAGCTTAACCCAGAGCGAATATAAAGCTTTAAATACCATTCCCTTGAAGGATGGTTACCGTGTGTTTACCGTAGCGTGAAGACAAGGGCTGCCATGGAATAGCTCATCTTTCAAGCATTCGTGCAGACCATACCTTACCATGGGCACATAACCCTATCGCATGAAAGATGCTTGGCCTCCAGCAAAAAAAAGTCTGGCAAGCCACGGGAGCTGCCAGACTTTTAACAGCAACAGCTCCCTGGAACGAATACATGGCAGAGGGGCTCTGCTTAATGTGATGCAATGATCATGAGGTGAGGACAACAGAATATCTTAAAAAAGAGTAAAATTGAAACTGGATCATTGACAGCTTAGAATGTGTGAGGGGTGTGTGACTGCAGAAGGCTTCTGAAGCTCCAAAAGTGGTAAACATAACAAAATCACGGTTATTTTGGTAATCAGACTGTGTGGCTAGCATAACAAAATACATAAGTGTTTCTAGAGGAGCCATACCCATAATCTGTAACTTCACACCGATCAAGGACATAATGAAAAAGTGTTATCAAGCACCTAGGAGATTTTATCATTTCTTCCAGCAGTAGAAAACCTGTTCTTCTGACAGATTGGAAACTGCAAGAGCAGCCATGACCCGTAAGGCCTCTAGAGCAAGTAATGTATGAGTATGTAATATAGAGGTTCTGCAGATGAACTCCAGAGTTCTGCAGATGAACTCCAGCTTAAGCATTTCCTCTATCATTTCCTTCAGTTACTACTGACTTCAAGAGATTTTTACCTCTCAAACTTACTCCTGACCAAAAATATTTTTTCTAAGAATGAAATAAAGACATTTTTTCATATTTTTCATTCATAGTTTATTCAAACCTCCTAAATATCCCTTCCTCCATATTATTTAAAGTGAGAGATATTTCTTGAAACCTACCCTAATTATGAGGAAAAGTCCTGGCTTTGGATAACTTTAAAAAATTAGGATTTATGAAAATGCACTGAACAAATATAATTGCACTTTATCCTACATAAGCACAAGTCAGTTCCAGCACTACTATTTGTGAATGTGTTTCATACGGTTGTAAATCTCAGTTCACATGAATTTACAGGACCAAGGTCTGGATTGTCAAACGTCCAAGATACCTTCCATAATGCTTTGAAGGTGAGTAATAGATTGGATGCCTGTTTTATTTCCTGCATGTAATGCAAGGACATTAGAGAGAAAAGAAAGAAAAAAACCTATAAATAGTCCCCTATAACATCGCTGCCTGAAACATTTTGTACAGTTTTCAGCACATTATGACATAAGGAAAGTCGTTCCAAGAACGTGGAACTGATGATACCTGGTTCCTCACAGATTTGAAGCTCATAATTAGACTCCTTGGTTTTTATCAAGATGAAAACTCCCTCTGAAGGTTCTCAAGGCTAGGGCAGTATTATTTCTCTAACGTGCAGATTTGTTGATGTCTAATGTAAGTGAACTGTATGCTGCAGTTTTTCAGACACCAGAATATTATCTGCTATCTTCTTTGCCCATGCATCTGTTGTAATGAAATGACTAAGAGCATGTATGATACTATTAGTCCTCTGTTAAATTGTTGGAATTTTCCAGATAGTTCAAAAGATATTACACAGTAACAGACATACATATACCACACATGGCTATGTTAGATAATTTGCTTAGGAAGCAAAGTTAAAAGCAGTAAAGGTAATAGATTCTTCTGGAAACTTTCTGAACAGGGTCATAAAGACCAAACGTAGTTGGAAGCACAGCTTCTTGTTTGATTATTCATCAAGGACAAATATTCATATGTGCAGTACACATAGAATATTGTATGTACATATCTGCAAAATACATATTAGATATTATAACATATCCACAGAATGTAAAGTCAGCACATGCACAAAAGCGTCTGAACAATCTAATTCCTGATGGACACAGTTTGACTTCCTCTACGTTACCTGCCCACACCAATCAACTGCATTATAGGTGCCTCTCCCTTTTGACTCAAAACACACAAGGTTACTCTACCCATGTGAAAAAATCAGGAATGTTTTCAAAACTGGACTGGTGCTGTGTCTTAAAGGGAATGCATTTTGGCTGATGTGAGGTTATGGTTAATTGCACTGAATAATTAGAAACAACTGATCAGTTTTAAGTGGAAATAAATGATCATTTCTATCATAACAGGAAGCAACATAAAGTTCACAGACTTGTTTCTGAGATGAACTCATAGTAAAACTAAAAGAATAAACATCATCCATGGCTGATATTTGCAGGTGGAACTCAGTGGAATTGCATATTTTGTGTGGGTGCAGAGGAACAGGGCTCCTCGCTCCAGGACTGCCAGTCTCAAAGATCAAGGTGCCAGTCAAGCCCCTAGCGATAAACTTTGTGTTCCCCACTGTTATTTGCTCGTTTTCAGTCATTCATTACATTTGATTCTGGCCACCGTTTTCCACAAGACTGAAGATTTTTATCACCAACTGACAACTGTGCTTTCCACAGAAAAATGCAGAAAACATTAGACCCTACTTCTGCCAAAATAATCCCATGCTGATTTGGGAATTTAAAAGTTTTAACACAGCCTCTGAAAATTAACAGAAAGTTTTAGCAAGAAAACTGTAGTTCCTTGCAGCTCTAACTTTTGTTTTGTTAACTATCTAGTTGTCTTATGACATGTGTGTAGTATGCCTACTTCTTTTTTGCCCAATCCGGAAGAAGTCTTTCAAATTTTTGGTCCAGTTGTCCCACATTATGTGGCCTGCTGCTTACTGTAGACCTTTTGTTGCCCTGTTCTTGTTATGTTTTTAAAATGGCTCTTGAAATCTGCCCATCTTCATGCACGTTTGTAATTGTCACTATAACAGGTACTTTACTGAGTGCATTTTGCCTTTGGGTGGCAAGGGCTTCTTGTTCTTGCAAGCCTAGTTTATCAAGGCAACAGCACTGTTAGGACCCATAATATGCCCTTAACAACTTTCACCAAAAAACAGGTTTCTTGGTATAATGCAAGGAAGTACAGCAGCACCAGCGTGATAGTGCTTCTGAGGTACTGCAGCAGGATTCTGAACTGAACATAAATTGACACTATTATAAGAATTTTAGCACTTTAATTTCACAAATTTTATTCACTTAGAAGATGCATAGATATGTTTGTATGCACACACTAAAAGTAATAATCTATGTAAAACAAACAGAGTTTGCTGTCTATAATAATAACAAGTATTGTAAACGTTCAGTATTTAGTAACATGAAGGGAACTCCCAGGTGTTTCTTTGTTTTCATCTAGCAGAATATACTACCACACTATTTTTTTCTTCTTTGAGGCACAGAATAAGATAATGCCAATAGGAATTAAATGGGGCAGATACCGTGCTTTCTTCCTGGCACTGTTCTTTCTTACAGCATGTCAGACTTTTCAAAGGGTGTAAAACTAGAGAGATTGCATCTTCTATCACGTCATAAATCAACACCACTGTGGTCAATGAAGTGGAATCAATGTAAAATCTATGCCAGTTTAGGTCACAACTGTGACTTGGAAAGAAGAATAAAATTAGTAGACCCGATTCCACACTGAATTTTAAAAAAGAATTTATTGCAGATTAGCAGAGTTTAGGTGAACATAATTATACCTAACATCATATAGGTATATGCTTGTCGTGATCACCCTGGAGTTCAATAATATATTGCATTTTCTTCAGTTGGTGTTTATCCTGAACCCATAAAATACAGTATAAGTGTTAATTGCATGTCTGTTATTAGGTATGTTTTCTGTACTCTATATATAGCATTATGTGAGAATTTACTACAGGGATACAGTGCAATAATAAAATTTAGACAGTGAAATTTTTCCTTTTTTATGAAAACTTCTGTTCTGCAGCTACTGAGCTCATGTCTAAGTGTAGTCTGGAATATGGCTGTGCCAAAGTCTGGAAATCTACACTTCTCACCCAAGAACAAGAAAACAACACTGTCTGAAGCATCCTTCCTGGAAAAGATCAAAGCTTTTCATTTCTCTGGGATTATTAACATTAACGAGGAGGTATGGATCTTGTGGCTTATATTTTTGGGAAAAAGAGTTTGCTTGTGTTTTCATGTTCTTGTCTCCTTTGAGTTTTTATTGTTCTTTTGAACTTTTTCTAATATACTGTGTGATAAATTCATTGGACACTGTGGGGAGACACAAAAGAAGAAATAGTTTTTTGAAGGCCCTTTTTTTTCCCCTTTGGTCATTTTGTAGGCATTAATATATTATGTTTCTAAGTAATGTTGGTTTAAATTAAAAGAGCACATGGAATAGCATCCTCAAAATAGAATTTCCTGTTTTCCTCAGTCTTGTAACAGGTTATGTCATTTTGTAACTATATATATTACTATATGACTAGAATGTATATAAGGATATATCATCTCTTTCACTTGTATTAATAAATGGAGATGTGTTTAGTGCTTTCTTCAGCTTCTTGCAACTGACATTCCATCAATGTTTAGCCAATGAAAAGGAAGGAATAG